TCGAGAGACAGCACACCCTGCTGCTCAGACCAACGACCTCGCTCAGAATTCAACAAAACTTTAACAGAAAGGACAGAAAAGACCAAGCCGGCCTCAGTGGCCCACACCTGTCATCCCAGCGGCTCGGGAGGCTGAGGCAGGAGATCACAAGTTCAAAGCCAGCCTCAGCAACAGCAAAGTGCTACGCAAACTCCGACCCTGTGTCTAAATAAAATACAAAATAGGGCGGGGGATGTGGGTCAGGGGTCGAGCACCCCGAGTTCAACCCCCGGTACCAAAAAAAAAAAAAAAAAAAAAAGAATGGTTGGAATTGAAGAGGGTTGTAGAATGAATAATCTCTTCAGGGAAATAATAACGGAAAAAATTCCAAACCTTGAGGCTGAGATGGACCTCCAGACACAGGACACATTCAAACTCCAAATAGGCGAGATCAAAAAAGAGCTTGTCCAAACTCATCATGATTAAAACAAAACAAAAACAAGGACAAGGACAGGAGGATCCGAGACCCTTCTGACTGTTTGGCACCAACGCTAGAACCCAGGAGGGCGTCGAGAGGTCTGTGTGGGTCCTCAGAGAGACAACTGTCAAGCAGGATTTCTGTCTCCAGCCAAGTCACCTTCAAGTCCCTGAAGATTAGCAGAAACTAAAAGAATCCACGGTGACTCAGCTGGCACCCCCGGGAGGACTCGCCCACACAGAAGAAATGGGCCTCAGACTCCAGCGCTCCAGGACAGGCCTCGTCTGGAGCACAGCTCAGCGATGGGAAACAGGACAGGTGAACGCTAGCGACCCGTCACAATGGCGGGATTAATAACATCTCCCTGTGATAAACCTGAATGTAAATCTTCTTAACTCTCCAGGTAAAGACGCAGGTCAGCCAGGCGTGGCGGCACACTCGGGAGGCTGAGGCAGGAGGATTGCAAATTTAAAAACAGCCTCAATAATTTAGTGAGACCCTAAGTGACTTAGTAAGACCCTATTGCAAAATAAAAAATGAAAGGGCTAGGGTGCAATTC